AAAAATATTTTTGTTGAATGTTTCATATTATTATTATTATTATTATTATTATTATTATTATTATTATTATTATTATTATTATTATTATTATTATTATTATTATTATTATTATTATTATGTTTCATATTATTATTATTATTATTATTATTATTATTATTATTATTATTATTATTATTATTATTATTATTATTATTATTATCGCAAAAAAATATTTTTATTTAATAAAAAGCCCGAAGCCCGGTCCGAACCCGTCCGAAGCCCTATAGGGCCGAGCTCCGGGCCATCGATCCTAGATCCGAAAAATAAATGGGCGGGCCGGCCTGGCCCGAAAAATTCTAGGCCCGAATTGAACCCGGCCCGACCCGCCCATTTTACACCCTAGTTAAAACAAATAAGAAGAGAAATTTTTATTCTTTTATATCTAACTATGTTATTATTATACTAGATAAAATGTAGCATGTTCGAAGGAGATTTGTAATATAATAAAGATTATGTTATTAGAGAAAACCCGTAAAAACCGCAAATGGAAAAAAAAATTATGAACAAAAAAAATCTGGGGAAAAAGTAAAAAAAAAATAGTATAATTGATATACAAATGTACATTATCAATAGAAATTATAGTTATATCTCATTATCGTAATATTGTGCAGATTATTAATAAAAGATATAATAGGTGCAGGAATCAATATCTTATGAATATGTTATTAATATTTACGGGGATTTTTAAAAAAATCTTATACATATGTACGTAGTAAAAAAAAATCTGAAAATTACGAATCTAATTTTTTGTATGCATATAAACCTATAATTAATATCAGTAAAACGACCGAATTTTTACTACTAATATTATGAATGAATCGATATAATTTCTGAATATGTAATCATCACCTTTTTTATTATTATATTAATCGGGTGTAACACGCATTGAAAGAGAAAAGGAAACTATTTTTTGTTTCCTTTTTTCGTCGAAGAGAAAAGGAATGTTTAAATCATAGTTTAAAAAAAATGTTTAAATCATTTTTTTTTGAAAGGAAAAGGAAAATGCAAGCATTTTTATCTAAAGAACTCCTAAATGACGGGAAAACCTCGAGTGACAAACCACAAAGTATATATATATATACATATATACACATCTGATAGGTGAAACAAATCTATTCTCTTCACGCCAAAAACCCTAACTGAGAGAGCGGAGGAGAAGAATGATGAAGAAATCGCCATCTTCGTCAACGCTTGATTCCCCGTCTGGTAGCTTGGGATCTCTCAATCCCCCGAAGAAAATCAAACACGACGCCAAGTGGATGGCCATGATGGAGCGCAGACGCCACTTCATGGGCCCCGCCAAGAAGAAGAAGATCGAACGCGACGCCAAGTGGAAGGCCATGATGGAACGCAGACGCTACTTCATGGGCCCCACCAAGACCAAGAAGACGGCGAAGAACCGACCGACGAAGCCCAGAAACTCCCACGACGGCGCTTCGTGGGTACGCTCCGAATTCCTCGGACAAGGCAGTTTCGGCTCCGTTTACCTCGCCGTCAGAGATAACGGCGACAAGATGGCCGTGAAAACGGCGGAGATGTCACGCGCTTCGACACTCATGGACGAGTCACGCATTCTGAGCTTACTTTACTCTCGCTTCGTCGTCTCCTTCCTCGGCGACGAGATCACGACCGATTCCGAAACAGGCGAGAAACATTACAACATCATGCTCGAGTTCTGTTCTGGTCGGAGCCTCAAAGATTTAATCGGAACCCAACCTGAAGGTATCAGAGAGAGCCACGTCAAGCTTTTAGCCACAGATATACTCCGGGGCCTGAATGACATCCACTGCCGTCGGATCATCCACTGCGATATCAAACCGGCCAACATCTTGCTTGTTCCGCAAGTAAAGTGGAACAGACCGGACTGGTTCGTCGCCAAGATCGCCGATTTCGGGTTAGCCGTGGAGAAAGACACGGTGGAGTATGACGAAGACAACGGTTACCCGAGAGGCACCGCCATGTACATGTCGCCGGAGCTGGTGACGGGAGGAGATTTGGACTACGGAGCTGATGTTTGGGCATTCGGCTGCACGGTCTTGGAGATGCTAACCGGTTCGCACGCGTGGGGAGAAGAGAATGCACGTCTAAACCGGGACGAGTTGATGCGTATGATCGCCAATTCGGACGAAATCCCGGTCATACCGGAATCGGTTTCGGACAAGGCCAGAGATTTCTTGGAGAAGTGTTTGGTCAGAGATCCTGATTTGAGATGGACCACAGATGCTTTGCTGGCACACCCGTTTCTTCATCAGCCGGAGTCGCCATGATCATCCAGCGTAGCGTAGAATTCCATCGGCGTATATTATCAGTATCCCAGTGTCGACTTTCACGTATATCGAAGTTCTTATTCTCTCAGTCCCTGATTTTTTGTTGAAGAGGGATTCGAACATGTAAAGGAGATGAGTCAAGATTGTTATCGATTCATATCATGGAGTTAAACAAGTCGTATTCTGATTGTAAATACATTTTTTTTTGTAAAAATATACGATGAACTTTAGGATATTTTGATGAAATGAAACAGGGGTCAGACCATGTCTTGCCAATCTCGGTATATGATTACCAAAACAGCAAAGATTCAGATGAGAAATCTCCCAAAAAACAAAACGAGAAAGAAAAAAAATGGAGGAGAAAGAGTTAGATGATTCCAATCTTGTTGGCAACATCCAACGCATCATAATCTGGCGTCAGCCTCACGTAAGCCTTCTTAGTTCCATCAGGTCTGCACAAATCGCAACATCATCCTCTTCATGAGCCATCATATGGTACTTTCAAAAGTTCTAAACCATGGTGTTCATTAAGAGAGGGAGAGATAAAAAGGGTACTGACCTGATCAAAGTGTTAACCTTCTTGGTCTGGATATCATACATCTTCTTGACGGCATCCTTGATCTTCTTCTTGTCAGCTCTGATATCGACAATGAACACCAGTGTGTTGTTGTCTTCGATCTTTTTCATCGCGGATTCAGTAGTGAGAGGATACTTGAGAATCTGATAGTGGTCGAGCTTGTTTCTGGGTGGGGCACTGATCCGCGGGTATTTTGGGTTCCTCTCCCTTGTCAATGTTTTCGGTCTATGGAACGTGACCTTGGTCCGGATCTTCTTGGCCTTCTTCTTGAAGGGTGTGCCTGATTTCACGGCTTTTGCAGCCTTTACGGCTTGTGCCTTTGGATCAGCCTTTTTGGCGTTGTCCCCTGAAAATGTGTATCATCGTAAAAACACAAGTCATCTACAAAGGAACAAAAGAGAGAAGCCATACGCATCAAACCCAAAAATTCCATTAACTGATACAAGAAGATTCTACATGAACTGAATTGATTGCTAATTACTGAATCGATATCGTAGCAAAAAGAAAATTAACTATCGCAAAACTTCAGAGTATCTACAAACTTACGCAAACACAGATACAAGTAACAACTTGTTAATAAACACATAATGGGTCTCCCCCAAACCTGTACTCATGAAACATACATGCATTTTCAGTGAAATCAAGGACTTGCCCTCGAACGATTTACAATAGTGATGTTAGAAAGCCATATGATACCATGGTTGAGATCAAGAACAGAACAAAAAGTCAGGGGCAGAGTGCGTGGACAGAGGTGCGTACACTGCCGTTTAATACTGGACGAAACAATCTATGCTTCTGAAGCAACACTAATAGTCATATTGTTTCTTAAAATTGCAATTTCTCAGCTTGAACATATAGCAGACGCTCATCTACTCTATCACTACAGCTCAAATCATGAGTTCGGAATCTAGAAATTGAAGGCACTATTTGAAAGAGCGGACGAGAGATACTCAAGCTATATTCAAACCTAAACACAGAGGCAAAAGCTTCACGTTAATCAACAAAATCTCAAGTCCCGCTCAGTTGCCCAGAAAATCATCCCAAACCTTCAGTGTTCGTCGCCAGACTCTTGTTTGTATACACAAGAATCTCGGTCTCCGTTTGAAAAAAGCAAACTAGATTCTCATTTTTATCGCACTTACGAATCGTATGGAACCGCCATAGGAACGAACCAATACACTACATAGAGACAATCAAAGCTCTATCCAACATTTTGGCACAATCGACGCATAGAAAATGGAGATTAATTATATAAAATTTTTTTTAGCTCAAACAAAATGCATAATGCTATCATGGGAGAGAGAAGAGGAAGCGGAGTAAAAATCGTACCCTTAGGAGCCATTGTTGGCACAGCGGAGAGAGAGAGAGAGACTGCTAGGGTTTCGGTGTTGAAGATGAAGACATGGTTTTATTCAAAGCAACCATTAGTCTTAATTTATTGGGCCATAAAGCCCACTATTTTGACTAGAAACCCTTTATTTTATTTTTCCACACTAGACCCTTTAATTAACAAAAGGATTTATATATAGTTTTATATTTAGATCATAGTATACATATATATGTTTTTTTTGGTGTAATTATACATATATATGTTATGTATACACAATGCACAAAGGGCCAAACTTTGTATAAATGGAAAAAAATATGTATATGTAATGTAAAACTTTGAATAAAGAAAGGTGTAACAAATGCAACATCGAAGGGATCAAGCCAAGGGGTCGTTAATGTCGGAGACATAAACATGACCCATCTTCTTGCGTTTGGTCTCCAAGTATCGTCTGTTCTCCGTCGTGATCGGAGTCAGGACCGGAACTCTCCCCACGACGGCCAGTCCGTACCCTTTCAGGCCGGTGAACTTCGCCGGATTGTTCGTCATCAGTCTCATTGTTCTCACCCCTATGTCCCGGAGAATCTGTTCTTCCCGTCCATATCAAATGCAGATATACAGACACACATGCTGAGATTTGCAAAGCCAAAACATATGTGTATATATATATACAGAGAGAGAGAGAGAGAAAGAGAGAGTAAAATGGAGCTGACCTGAGCACCTATGCCGTATTCACGAGCATCAACGGCTAGGCCAAGTTCAAGATTGGCCTCGACGGTGTCATGGCCGAGATCCTGCAAGTTATAAGCTCTGAGTTTGTGGCCGAGTCCAATGCCCCGTCCTTCATGGCCACGAAGGTACACTACAACCCCTCTCCCCGCTTTCTCGATTAATTCCATGGCTAAGTCCAGCTGATTTCCACAGTCACACCGGGCTGAGCCAAAGATGTCTCCGGTTAAGCACTCTGAATGTACTCGTACGAGAATGTCTTGGCCGTTTCCGATATCTCCCTGTTCAGATTTCAGACAGTGATAACACAAGACTGATCGGAATTGAGATGTCATGTTATCAGATTGGTTTGTGCAAGTTAGAGTTGGCAGTTCAAGAAACAAATCAGATCATGGATCAGTTTAGATCAAGATGGAGAAAGTGATACTATTATTGCTTTCAATCTGTCCCATCCAGATGACAATCAGACTAACACATTCAAAGAAACTCAGAAAGAGACAGAGGGGAAATGGTTTTACCTTTACAATGGCAATATGTTCTGTTCCATCAAGCTTTGATCGATAGCAGTAAGCTTGGAACATACCCCATTCAGTAGGCAAACGTGAAACGGCCATTCTCTCAACAAGCTTATCTCGCTTTCTTCGATATCTACAAAGCAAAGTGGCAACAAATGTTAACATCTCCATTTGCGGAAGGCGGACAATGTATTGAATTAATCACTCTCTACCTGATTAAATCAGTCAAGGAAACAATGGGAATGTCGTGTTCTGAAGCAAGATTCTTTAGAGATGGCAGTGAAGCCATAGACCCATCTTGATCAAGAATGGCCGAAAGAACAGAAACGGGGCGTAAACCAGCCAAGATCATGAGATCCACTGAAGCTTCAGTGTGACCAGCCCTCCTTAAAACCCCACCATCTCTGTATTTGAGAGGGAAGACGTGACCAGGCCTTCTGAAATCTTCTGGCTTAGCTTCCACAGACGAAAGTGCCAGAACCGTAACAGCCCTGTCCGAAGCTGAGACTCCAGTTGATGTTCCTGATTTTGCATCCTGTAAGTAGAATAACCCAATAATTTACCAAAACCCTTGAAACCCTTTTGAGGAAACGATGATTTTACCTCCTTTTGGAGGTTGTATCGGAAAGTTACCACAGTGATGGTGAAGGTTGGAGCAGAGGAATCTTCATCTTCCATGTCAGGTGACATCAAAGGAAGCTTTAATCTCTTGAGGTCTTCATCTTTCATGCCAACGGAGACAATCCCAGATCCATTCTTAACCATGAAAGCAATGTGGTTTGGACTCGTGAGAGCTGCTGCCATTATCAAATTCCCTTCCACCTTCCCGTTTTCATCGTCAACAATGATCACAAACTGAAAAAGAAAGCCACAGAAGAAAGAAACATACCCCGAGATTACATTGCAGACAGACCCATGGCATTTCAATTACAAATTAGTTGTTTTTTAGCAAGAAAAGAACAGGAATCGAATTCAAAACGTTTTCAACTTCTGCAAAATGAGTCCAAGCACGAACCTTTCCTTTGCGTAGAGCCATAAGGGCATGTTCGATCGAGGAATAACCTTCGGTTGGACAGTCTGGATCACCCTCTGCATCACTCACGAAGAAATCAACAGTTTCAGGAGTGATTTCTGCGTCAAATGCTGTGAACGAGGCAGAAGTAGATTCCTCCAGAGCACCGGGCAAAGACCCGTTTTCGATTTCTCTCATAGAACTTTCATCGAACACTTTATGATCACTGTTCCCATCAACTTTGATCTTCCAACATGATGCGTTAGCCCAATTCCGGCAAGCAGGAGGAGCTTCCAGAAACCTATTCGACCTGCAAGCAAGCAAACAACAGACCTCGTTTTCATTCAGACAGACCCACGAACAGAGAGAGAGGTCAACAAAGCCGAAGATTTTTCTTGAGTTCTTCACAAAACCTTGAACTGATGAAGCTGTTGGCGAACAAAATGCGAGGAGAGAGAGCAGAATCCATCTCTTGAACAGATTCTCGTGGAGAAGAAGATGGAAAGAAGAAAGCTTTTCTTGAACGCCCAAATCTGCAAATTTTATATTTTCAGACATTTTCCACAGGATGGAGCCAAAGCTTTTGCACCACGAGTTTGGGATATGTCTTGTTCTTTCATCGTCTTGAGTTTGTAATTTGTATCTATCATTGCTTCCGCCACACGAAAGTTACCTTCTGTAAGTTTGTAACTGGTTGCATATATTCGAGGGAAATTAATAATATTAATTTAATTCGTTTTAAATTAATAAAATAATTCGAATTGGATTGCCATATGAATACTGATTAAGACAAAATCATATAATTAAATGAGTCGAATTCTTCCTCATCTTACAAATTCATCTGTAGGAGTGAATAACTTTAATAAAATTTAAAAAATGCAAGGCAAATTGCGTGTACCATAATAAATAGTAAAATACCGATGGAGGAGGAAACGATTGAAAGCGACCAAGAGTGAAACCTCTTAGAGGTTTGGAGGGTTCTGAGTCACCAGTCAGCTGAAGCTAGCGCGCTAATCGAGAGCTGACGTGGCGGTTATTCAGAATTCTCAACAGAAAAAAGTTAATACGGGAAAGGAAGGAGGCGGAAGAGGGAGGGAGGGAGTGAGAGAGCGCGGTGGAGAGGGAGAGAGAGTCGTCGGCGATTTGGTGACTCGAGAGATTTCTCAGCTTGTCGAGAGTCGGAGACCAGCTTGTCGAGAGTCAGAGACGGAGACAAACGAGGCATTCTCGTTCGATTATAGTCAGGTATATTCCCGATCCCGCCGGATCGACCGTTAATTTTTCTCCGGCGACATTTTCCGGCAATATCCGTTGGGTATTCTACGTCTCTTAGGTAAACTGTATAGTTCCCGTAGACTCTTCATGTAGATGCGAATCGGAGCACTGTGATTAGATTTTTGGTTGATTTCGTCCTTAATCTTCTAGGTCTTGTTTTTGTTTTTGTCTTCTTCAGCGAGGTTAGAGAGGGTAAGAGCGTGGTGGTGGTTCCGGGAGGTATATGGGCAATGGCTGAGCCGGATTCGATCGGTGCAGAGAAGGAGAACAAGTTATGGAAAGGTTTATTTGCGGTCACAGGGATTATGGCAACTCTTGTCATCTATGGTGTTCTACAGGTATGTCTGCCTTGGTTCCGTTTCCGTGTTTTAGTAGTTTCCATTTGTACGAAATTGCAAAAGGAGATCAAAGTATGTACATAGGTTTTTGCTTCTGTATCCTCGTTTCTTTTGTCTACTTAATGGTGTAAAAGCTCGCAATTGTGACTCGGAGAATGATGTAAGAGTCATCTACACAAAATTTCTGTTTAAAGGAAACCTGTATTGGTTTGAGAATGAAGTGTATCTTAGTTTAAGTCCATGAAATAGATTAACACTATTTCCACTCTGGCTGTGTGAACTGGCTGGTTGATTCTTCTTTTGATTGCAGGAAAAGATAATGAGAGTACCATATGGGAACAAGGAGTACTTTAAGTACTCTTTGTTTCTTGTTTTCTGCAACCGGCTAACTACATCAGCTGTCTCTGCTGGTGCTTTACTGGTAACCAGCAAACCCAAGTTATATTCACACTCATTTTCTCGAGCTTTTCAGTGCTGCCAGGAGATGGGTTTGTCTTGTTGTTAGGGATAGCTTGATTATTGTTGGTGAGCTAGTTGGCAAACTATACACATGACTGGGATGTATGACTTGCACTGAGAGGAATACCTCCCTTTCTTTTTGTTTCTTAGGCAAGCAAGAAAGTTTTGGATCCTGTAGCTCCGGTTTACAAGTATTGCCTTATATCAGTGACCAACATCCTAACGACCACATGCCAGTATGAGGTAATGCATGTCTTTCACTGCTTCTAAATTAATGAAGTTAGCATGTTTATTGTTGCTTTACCTTCAGTTTTGATTTCAGGCCCTCAAGTATGTCAGTTTCCCTGTCCAAACTCTGGCAAAATGTGCCAAAATGATCCCTGTAATGGTGAGTGCGAACATAATTTCTGGTAAAGTGGCCATTTTACACGTGTGTTTATCAACCTGTTCTAATTTTCAGGCTTTATGCAGGTCTGGGGAACTTTGATCATGCAGAAAAAGTACAAGGGATTTGACTATTTTGTGGCTTTTCTGGTGACCATTGGATGCTCTATCTTTATTCTTTTTCCGGTAAAAAGCCTGTCATATAATAATTTCACCAATCTCTGCAAATGGTTTTATGAGGAACAATACATAGATCTATTTGAATATCAAGGTGCAATGTACTGATTTTTCTCTATGCATTTGAACCGTAGGCTGGAGATGATATTAGTCCGCACAACAACAGAAGGGAAAACACTGTTTGGGGTGTTTCCCTGATGGCTGGTTATCTTGGGTATATCTGTTCAAGTTACCCTTTGCATCTTTTGTTGATGCTTTGTTAATCATCTGGTTTTAGAATAGAGGACGCGATAATTCTGTGATTATGCTCATGTTCACATATTGGTGATTGACTGACAGGTTTGATGGCTTTACCAGCACGTTCCAAGACAAACTCTTTATAGGTTATAATATGGAGATACATAACCAAATATTCTACACTACACTTTGTTCCTGTGTTCTCAGTTTTACCGGTGAGGATCCTACTCTTCTCACTAATCTTTAACTGTAACTGTGTAACACACTGCAATCTCGCTTTGACTATCGTATTGTCTGGGCTTCTTTTCTTCCATGTTTGCATGTATGTTAGCCCATCATCACCTAATTTCCACATAAAAGTTCTCTCTCCTTCATCAAACTTGAATCCTACGTACCATTGACAGATTAGAATTTAGAAATCAAATTGGTCACGTTCTTTGCTTATCATCAGATAACCTCCTGTTTGATGTAGGACTTATATTGCAAGGACATTTTCTAGCAGCTCTAGACTTTGTTTCCCGGCATAGGGATTGCCTCTGCGATATCGCTTTGCTATCCACAGTAAGTTTCCTCACTCTTTTTTGGATAACCAATTATATGGCGCGTTGTGTTGTTGGATGGATACTTGCTTTGAACATCGTAAGGAACTTGAGTTCGATTGTTTACAGTGATTGTTATCCAGACATACCCGAGAAGATGTATGAAAATATATATATATATATATATATATGTAATACATAAAAAAAAAAGGGAAACGTAATGGCTTATTTTGTATCGGCAACAAGTAGAGGTGTAATACTGAAATTTTAATGATGTTCCATATATCTGTGAAATCTTAAAACTGTAACCTCCAAGGGAGGAGGGAGATTTTGTTCTTTATCAGATGCTCTAAACACACGCCAATTTGACGTGTCAATATGCCTCAGAGAGACAAATATGTTTTTTTTTGCAGGTGGCAACAGCGAGTCAGTTCTTCATTTCTTATACAATTAGGACATTTGGAGCTCTCACTTTCGCAGCCATAATGACCACGAGACAGGTAAGAAACCCAATCTCAGCCTATCACTCATATATTCTTTTGTCAAGAATTGCGGAATAATGCCTCGTCTTATTCATTGAACGAATCAACATATATATACACATGAGTTTATACCCAAAATTATCAGGAAAATTACAAATATATCTATTTTCGGGTTTATCTCTTCTAATGATATCATGTTGATCTCTAATACCTTTGAACAAAAAAGCTCGTAAGCATCATGCTCTCATGCGTATGGTTCTCGCACCCGCTGAGCTGGGAACAGTGGATTGGATCCGTAAGGGCACACCTCACACCTTCTTCTTCTTCTTCTTCACTCTCTTTCTATGGAAGACTAACTGATCTTTAATCAAATCAGGTCATTGTTTTCGGATCTCTGTATGCTAAAAACTTATCGAAGAACAGATCACAGAAGCCACCACTTCCCAAGGCTTCTGAACTTCCACGGGACGGAGAGACCGACCCTCTAAAGGGACTGCCCTAGCACTGTAAGAATTTCCGCTTATCCTTTTTCTTTTTTGGCCCCCAAGAAATTTGGCTATATCTATAACAAACGGTAGTCAAGTTAGGGGTCGGATTGAGAGCCCTTTTTTATCCCTTTTTGTTCATTGTTCGATAATTTATCCGTTCCGACCCAGCTTGAAAACAGTACACTCTACTCATTGGATCGGATTTCGTCTAATGCACACTTAACATCCGTAAGTTTAGATATCATTGAATTTTATTTGTTTATGAGTATACAAATACTTCTTATATTTATTAAAAAAAAATATTATTTGTTTACTAAATTTGGATTCAAGAATGCGTGTGAATATGATAATTTGCTTGGGTATTTGGAATTTGAATAATCGATATTTTTTAATGGGAGTTCCTATGATGAATTTACTATGCATCCTGGTGTGGATTCAATTCTTTTTATAAAAAAATGTGTTTTCGATGTGCGCCCCTGATTTATTTAGAGTCCCCTTGGGATGGGACTTTCTTGTGTGTGTCGTAGTCGTAGAGTCTGTGTTGTAGCAGATGAGCAAATTTAAAGTTGTCTACGTGTCCATGATAGAATTACCTTACCTTTTTTTTTCCTTTTGATCTCTCGTTCCACCTTTTTAAAATTAATTAGTAATTATTTTATGAGTTATGACATAAACGTTCGAATAACAATCTTCTTCGTAATTCGAATTTACTCCGAAATGATTTTATGCATAAAATTCTCGACCTTTGTTTTAAAAATATTTATTATATACTGAAAGGGGAAAAAAGGGGAAAAGGGAGATAACATAGAAAGCGAAACGAGGTTGCACGGTACTTTACTACTATGTTCCGACAGCTATAATCATGCATGAAGCACGTTGGATCTTAGCGAGGGTAAAGCCAATCCACTTGTTTCGTTCCAGCCAGTCAAAAGATAACACGTGGGGTGGAAATACCATTTGACCAGACCGGTATATAGTATATACAACCGGTAGCATATCGGTTACGAGAACTGAAACCGGTTAGATGCTAATTTGATTTGATGCTATGATCAATCCACACGAAAACAACCTATAATTTGGTTAAGGGACCGAATTACCGATTATGGTTAAACTGGCGGTGACTGTTAAACTACCAAACTAAACAGTGGAAAAGTAGTTTCTAGTATGTTTTCCACTAAATGGTAATTTTTAGTTTATTTTCCAACAAATTCTCGATTTCGGTAGGACAGACTACACGAATATTATTTTTACAACGATATATTAAATTCGAATTCCTTTTTCCCTTGCATTAATAATACAATTTTAATGATCATTATATAGCTTCTTAAAAACATAGAAAATCTGGACCAGTTAATGACTGAAATATTTTATTTAGAACGTCTTCATTGCCCAATGACTAGATGATGTTATTAATTTAATTTCATATATTATAATGGTCCCTCTCCTCCATACCTCTACATACATGTATATGTGTGTGTGTATATGTGTATACGCTCTTATAAACAGCAACCATATTTCACTCGTTTTTATATATATATAGGTGATATAGCCTCCCTCCAACTTTCTCATCTGATCTGATTCACTCGCTGCAAACAGACTAAACAGAAAGTGTCTTCAGACTGGAGGGAGAGAATAAAAAGGGCAAAAGGCAGAGCGAAAACACCAAACAGCAAAACAATTCTTTATTTTTTTAATTTATTTTCCTTCCATTTTGATTTTCGGAGGGAAGAAATGGGGAAACACCTGTTCCGACCATCTCCGCCGAAGAGATCGCCGGCGCCGGAGCCTCACCAGATGCTCACCGAGTCATCCATGGAGGAGAGTATGCAAGCTGTCTACTCTGCGATTTACAAATGGGCTCCTTCAGGATATGATCGCGGTTCGGTTTCTACTCCGTCTTCTTCTTCTCCGGTTTCTGGATTTCTGTTCTCTTCGAGTAGTCGCCCCGAGGCGGTGGATTTCATCGGAGCAGTGAAGGAATTGCAGAGCACGATGGGTCTGTTGGTCTCTGTTTACCCGGCGTCGAAGAAGCTTGTTCGCGCTAAGAATTTGATGCAAGCGGCGATGAAGTTTCTGGAATCGGAGTTTCACCGTGTTCTGAATGCGAATCGGGAGTATCTGGACCCGAAACGCGTCTCTGTTCGTCCGCACAAGTCTTGCAGATTCAGCATTTCGAGTGTTTCCGACTCCGACGGAGATAACAGCGTCGATGGTACGGACGGCGACGGATACGGCGGCGGAGACGAGGAAGAGATGAGGTTCTCCGGTGGAGATTCTGACGTCATGAATGATCTGAAGATGATCGCCGATTGTATGATTTCCGCCGGTTACGCGAAGGACTGCGGTAGGGTTTACAAAACGGTGCGGAGATCGATTTCGGACGGGACACTTCATAATTTAGGGATCGAACGGTTGAGTTTGCATCATATTCAGAAGATGGACTGGAAGATACTGGAATCGAAGATCAAATCGTGGCTGACAGCCGTACGATTCGCTGTTCGTACTCTGTTTTACGGCGAGAGGATCCTCGCCGACCATGTTTTCTCCGCTTCCACTGCAATGGCTGAGTCCTCCTTCGCCGAGATTGCTCGGGAAGGAGCACTAACGCTGTTTGTCTTCCCGGAAAATGCAGCCAAGTTCAAGAAACTATCCCCCGAGAAAATGTTCCGTATCCTGGACATGTACGAGGCTCTCGCCAATCTCTACGCGGAGATCGAATCCATCTTCTACTTCGATTCAACAGCCTCGGTCAGATCTCAGGTTATCAACTCGCTCGCCGGACTCGGCGACTCGGTGCAATGGATGATGGCGGATTTCGAGTTGGCGATTCAGGGGGAGTCATCGAAGAAGCCAATTCCCGGCGGCGGAGTCCACCCACTCACTGGCTATGTCATGAACTATCTCGCCTTCATCGCCGAGCCATTTTAGTAGAAAAATCAAAGAAAAATCAAAAGCTACTTTTTTTAGTTTTCAAATATTATAGAATCCAAAAACCAAAAACCAAAAACCAAAACCTAAAAACCAAAATAAAAAAACTAAAATTAAAAACCCAAAATGAAACTCATCCTCGTTCAAAACCTTAGTTAACAAAGAAAACAACGTTAACAATTTGATGTAAAACGACTAATCGTTCATGATCTAGGCATATAGAAGAGAAGCATTCGTATAGTGATATATAGTAGTGTGATCTCTAATGGATATATTAATCGTAAATCGTAATATGCTTTGGTATCTAAGAAGCCCATGCATTTGCGCCTAAAATTGTGTCATACGCTCTATCAAATTAGATATCATAATCGTGTTGTGATTTTGACCTTCGTTAAATGACAAACATCGATCACACACCATATATAACACATGTACACACACACATTAATTCTTGTACGTAGTAAAAAATAAATGCAAGTGTAAATATGGAAATTCGGGTTAAAAAACTTAAAAGGGTGTTATATTTACAAGAAAAAGGGCTGCGTTTTATTTTCGAAATTTGAAAATGACATAATAATTGAAATTTATGTGTGCCCAATCATCAAATGTGGGTTCTCCTTCGTGGTTTCCAAAGTGGGGAATAATATGCAAGGATAAAAAGCTTACTATAGTAAACAAGTTTACAACAACAAAAAATCTCACTTTTGGATTTAGTTCTCCACTTTCGGACACCATTTTGAGTCGAAATTAAAAATAATAAAAAAAAAAAGAGTAAAGAGAAAATTCTTGATGCCGTTGACTTTTGTTCTAGACGGCCATGATTGAGCGTGTGTTGAGTCTAAGAGACCAAATTATGGCTATTCTTGCTGGCCAATAATTAAAAAATAAAATAAAGCGGACGAATAATCGTGAAACTACAATTACAGTACGTAACTTAATGTATTTATTTGAGGGTCTTGTATATTAGATTGTTCTTCACGTACCAACATGGGCACGTACGTACAATGCAACAACGTGATACGTGTGTTGGAGAGTTGATGGACTATTAAGAGGTGGGTTTTAGTTTTAGTTTTAGTTTTATTTTTAATTAAATAAAAAATATATTATTAGACCTATATATATATATATATATATATCAAGGTTTTTAGAGACATATTTGGGGGATCTCTTATGTCCCATGCATTGTGGGCACCCAATCTTACATTTGCTTGTCTAAAAGGTAGTGTCCACGATCCTCTGCCTTTCTTTTGCCCTTTATTCGAATTTTTGTAAATAATCACACACATTTGTAATTTCTTTGGTTCAATTAGGGAGGAGAGTGTAAACGGACAACATAGGATACCCTAACACATGTGGACACCCTCTGTGTGCGCTACGATATTGGACCGACCGGACTTCTTGAATAGTATGACACCAATAAGCCCTTTATTTTGTTTTGCCACAAAAACTTTGCCACCTCTCTTGAATACCCGTTAGGGGTGGGCGTATTCAATTCGAGTTAAGATTCTTTCGGTTTTTTTTACAAAAGTATCGTACCAAACAATTATTATTTCATTCAGTTAAGTTTGGTTTTTACTAAAAATAATAGATTTTCTTAACAAATTTTTCGGTTTTTCGAGTTTTTTAAAAATTCAGTCCGATTCAATTCAATTCCGAAAAAATCGATTTTCTAGAAAATTTATCGTTCGAAAATTTTGAACAATTCAATTCGAGAATGGTATAATATTTTTTTATTACTGAAACACCCACTATTACCTTTTAACAAAAAAAAATCCCTTCATTGCTTTTATAATGTATATGCATATAAGTCGTACGTATTTATTTTCATATGGATTATAAAGCAATGTATATTTTCATCATGCTTTTGATTATTTCTATCAAAATTTGTTTCTGTAATATTTATCTAACATTCTCGGGGATATGAAAAACAAAGAAAAATGGATAAAAATGTGTTGTTGTTTCTATCCATTGTGCGTTTAACGAAAAGATGGTATCCAAAATATCATATCTATAATATTGCATATCAAGCTGAATACATGTAAACCATACTTGTGATTTTGTTCAGCGCAATTAAACCTTAAAATTTTCAATTCTTGGTCTCATTAGTGGCTAGATTCTGGCCGTTTTTTGTTGGTTATTTGAAAAATAATGTGAAAAGTAATAATAAATAATTGTTTCCGTAAAAATTAAAATAATTGTTTAAATATTTAAAATTCTTTTTTTCAAAATATGGTTTATATTGTGCCTTCTATTTAAATACTAATGATCATATGCATATGTTTTGATCAGATTTTTTATATACTAATAATTAACAGTCCCCTATTTTATAAAATTTTTAAAAATTCATAAGTTTTTAGTTGTGGAAAAATTATAAAAATGCGATAGATTCATGAATCGGCTTTGGATTAATCCATATTATTACAAAAAGAAAAACTCTCCATCTTTAAATAAAATATTCTATGAGATATTTTTGAAGTTTAATGCGAGAGAACAAAAATAAGTAATCCCATAAAAGCTAATGATTTTTTTGAAGAAAAGGTTAATAATATAACTATCGCAACCGGCTATAGCAGGTGCCGCTTCAGTGTTATTCCAATGCATAATAGTCACAGGCTACCGGCAGCGCTAATATATATATATATATATGTACACACACAGAGGCGTATATACATACATATATACAACCAGTGGCTCACGTCTTTATATATAAAGACAGAAGCTTTTTAACCTCTTTCGCTTCAACAAAAAGCAAACTCTCCTCAAAAGACAACAACGGCTTCTCTGTGTTTCAGATTTCCTGTTTATGGTTCTGCTCCGCATATTTCAACTTACAGTCTCTGGATGATTTTGGGTCTTTTTATTTTACATTCTCTTGTGAGAATTCTGCAAGATATTTAAGCGGGAGATCCAGATTCTCTGCTATTCGGGTTTCTGACCCGACCCGCGATTTTTTTGGTCTGACGGTGCATGACATGATTGCGATTTCCGGGTCTTGATTCTTTTTGCCCGAGGAGGAAGAAGGAGATGGTCTCAGGGCTTAAGCATACACTGAAGAGCCTTTGTTGCAGCCATGGATGGTCTTTTGCTGTTTTTTGGCGCTATGATCTCAGAAACTCCATGTAAAGTTTCCTTTCCTTGACTCGTTTCACCTCTTGTTTCCTTCATATTCGTGTTTTCTTAAAAGAAAAATTGTATGCAGCATTTGCTAATTTCCTTCATATTTATTTGGATTGTTCATTTGAAGAAGGAAGTTGCATGTTATCTTTCCTCTTGTTTTTTTTAAACTGATGCATTTGCTTATATCCATTATTTGTATATGTCTGACTATATGTGTGTGTCTTGCATCAATGTAATACAATGATGACAGGCTATTGACAGTGGAGGAAGCATACCACGATGAACTAACGCGTACAGTTGTGGATGGTATGCTTCGGCAGGATCATATATTTGGCCAAGGGTAGGAAGCTAAATACACACATATACATATATATATATATATATATAGCATAATCTTTGAATGCATACGTTTTTTGGAGTTTCCTGTCTTCTTCATCCTCCTTGTTTTATGCGACGCAGAATCATAGGAGAGGCTGCTTTAACCGGAAACCACCGTTGGATGTTCCGCGACACAGCTAAAGACGTTTTCCAGGTTTTTTCTTCTTCTCCATATATCCTTTTTTTCTTTTTATTATTATTACCTGTTAATGGGCCAATGTCTCAAATTTACAAGTTCCATCCTTTATGGAGACATCACCAGTAATAATGAGCAGAGATTCCACATGAATTGCTTTGTTTGAAAGCTCAAATCTTTATATGAATGAACCCACCTTATGTCCAAACATAAATATTTATATTAACTTTCCAAAAAGATATTTGAATTACACGTTGGAAGGTTTGAGGACATGTACGTGCGTTTGATATTTTCAGGCGGAACATGATTTGCAGACTGTCTTGGTGGTTCCTATTGGATCGCGAGGCGTTGTTCAGTTGGGATCCACCAACAAGGTTTTTTACAGATTAATTACACGAATGATTATCGGTTTTCCCCCCAATCAGACAACAAGAAGGTTTAATTGAAGGCATGAATTGAATCTTTACTCTGTTTTCAGATTCAGAAGAGCACTGAAATATTGGAACAGACAGCGAGAGCGTTACAGCAGACTGGTCACATCTCAGAAACTCTCGATCTTGACGAGTTGTTTTCGACCCTAGCGCCTCTGGGAAGCTCGGAATCTCTCCAAGGTCTCGCCTTTGATGGGATCTTCGCGGCTGGTTCGTGCTCTTTTCCGAGCCCCGAACCGCCGTCATGTTTCACTTCTGATATCTGCGAGATGTCGGGAAAGTCACATGATCCGTTCGAAGATGATGATTTCGGGTTCGACATTCTGAACTCGTACTCGCTGGACGATCTTCAGCAGTGCCTCGCCGATTCTCCTGGCCAGAACGCTTCCTTGAGCAGTGGTTCATTGTCTCCCGGATCCTTTCTTCAAGACAAGACTCTTGTGCATTGGTCAGACGGTCATCAGGAGACATCTGTGGTCAGTGAAACTGATCTCTTTGATGTCTTGGGGCCGAATTTCGAGGATTCTTGCTCGACCCCTCCTAAAGGGCTCTTCTCAGAACTCATAAGCAGCAGTTTCAGTAACTCTTCCAGTTCCGTCACCAACCAGACGCATTCCCAAGATTTCTGTTTGAATCCCGCCAAAAGGAAAAAACTTGAAACTTCATCCCCTCAGAGTTCAAGTTTCTTTGCACGGAGCTGCAACGTAATGTCTCAGACAATGATGCAGACTGCCAGTTTCTGTAACCCTCCAATCAAGCCAGAGACTTTTTCGAAACCGCATTCGGGTTTTTGGAGCTGCAACTTTGGCGGGAATTCGGATTCAGGGCCGTCAAAGAAACCAGACGAAGCTGTGAGGAAGAAGAGAGCAAAGCCTGGAGAGAGCCGGAAGCCGAGGCCAAAGGACCGTCAGATGATACAAGAGCGTATCAAGGAGCTAAGAGGGATGATTCCAAATGCGGCGAAGGTAACATCTTTTTTTCTTGATTGTTCTTTCTTTCCCTCTACAGATTTCTCGGACTATCGGACATGTGATATCATTGGTGCTGTTTCATCAAACAAACAGTGCAGTATCGATGCGTTGCTTGACCTGACAACCAAACACGTGCTCTTCATGCAAAGCGTCGCCAAGCACGCAGACAAACTCAAGCAAACATATGAGCCGAAGGTAAGTAAAAAGAAAGAAACAGCTGAATTCCGAAAATCCAATCCGAGATCCAATCTCTGAAAATTGACGCATCTCCTGCGATGCGTTGATGCAGCTGGTGAATCAGAAGGGTTCGTCGATTGAAGAACAAGTGGCGGGAGAGAGAAACGGGGCGACTTGGGCGTTTGAAGTTGGAGATGAGTCAGTTGTCTGTCCGATCATTGTCGAGGATTTGAACCCACCTGGCCACTTGCAGATCGAGGTTTTTGACATGCTCTTTGCATGAATTTTGTGTTTGATTCTTACTCTTTCTTTTTGGAACTCACCCAATTGTTTGTCTGTGTGCGTGTGAAGATGATATGCGAGGAAAGCGGGCAGTTCCTGGAGATTGCAGATTTAATCAGAGGCTTTGGATTAAACATCTTGAAAGGAGCCATGGAAACACGACACGGCAGAATCTGGGCCCATTTCATTACAGAGGTAAACAGAACATTCCCAAAATACCCCCCAAAGATTCGTTTTATTTTTTTGGTAATTTTTTTAATGGAAAAAAGGAGTTAACAAAGGCATATGACAGGGAAGAGTGGAACGAGTGCAGGTGTTGTGGTCGCTTGTCCAACACCTTCAGCAAGAACATCCCCTTCATTAATCTCTCTCCAATCTTTCTTTGATTTGGTTCCTAATCCTTTGTGGCCCACAGTCGCAATCTGTTTATAGTAGACCATATGTCGAGTTAATATTTCTTTTTTTTTTTATTATTTATTAATAACATAAATGAGACCTTCAATGTATGGGCCTTGACGAGATTACCCATAGCCCCAAATATTGCCCGGAAACTTTGTTGGGTTGGGCTCTTTCTTGTACTCGTTAAATTATTATTATTAGGGTCTCTAAAAAAACATGTAAACTTATAACTTGTCAATGTATAAAATCTCGAATATACATATCGTTGCTCTAATAAATCTTTGATCGGTTTGACCATAATTTCAAGTGATCAGAAATCTACGTACTGATAGATTGTTGATATCAATTGATGTATCATTTTTTAAATTTAAATTGTTGATGTGTATAAATTGACATCAGTAATCCGTCAATACATGGATTTACTGTCACCTGATATTATGGTCAAACCGGTTAAAGATTTATTAGAACAATAATTTGTATGTTCGAGGTTTTATTCAAGGTTTGGAGATTGAATAACAACTTTTCAAGTTGAAGGCTTATTTGTATATATTTTTGTAAGTTGAAGGTTTTTTTTAGGGGTTTTATCCTTGTTATTATTAATATAAAATATGTGATCTCATTGATAAATGGTTGAGGATGACTTGATTTCATTTCAATGATGTTTGCAGTGAATTAAAAAAAAAAGTAAATGGAAAGGACGTTTGGTTGGGATGTTATTTCGATTCTCTGTTTTGAATCCGGCTTGATTTTATTCGAGTTTATTTTTTCCGTTTTTTTGGGTAAATCTTTATCTTTTCAATTAGATTCGATTTCGTTTGATTCCGGTTTTCAGTATTAAAAATATTTAATTAACAAAAAGTTACGGTTTGTTCGGTTATTCTACATGTGGTTGAGATTCGATTTCTGCGATTATAAAAACATTAAAACTACGATATCTAATTTCAATTATAAATATTGTATTATTCAATTTAATTCGGTTTAATTTACGAAATCGTCACCCATGGCCATGGGCTCATACAATCTTCTCATAGTCCGAATTCCGCAAAGGCACGCGACCGGTTTGGTTGCACAAAAAAAAAAAAAAAAAAAAAAAATTGGCCCTTCTTTTCCGAAGGGGTAAAGATATATGTTTGTTGATAAGGACAGCTCATTTGACTTTTTGCCTATTTGGTGTTCCAGACATCGTCGTTCTTCTTTTCCCTTCTCCCTTCTTCCATTCCTTCTCTCTCTGTCTCTCTTAGGGTTTATTTTTGGTTTTGGCTCTTTCCTCATTCCTCTTTCCCCTCTATCGCTGCCGCGAAATTCTAGCTCTTTCCGTCTTTGGCTGATTTTTTTTTTGGGGGGGAAACAATGGTGGAGGTATGGAGGCAGCTGATCGAATAAGAGAGACGGTAGTACCCAACTGCGGGGGAGATCGGGGGATCGGGTTGGAGATGAAGATTTCCTTCGCCGGAAAACTCCGTTTCCGGTCTCGATTTCGATCGGCGATCGACTCCTACTGCTTCGCCTGTGAAGCTTTCTCCGATCGTCCCCTTTCGATCTCCTTCTCTTGCTGCTCTTGACCTCGGCCTTGTTTTCGGCCTCTGCTCCTGATCTCCGATTTCGGCCACAATCTCATCTCTCCTTCGCATCGTCTTCTTCTCTTTCCCGTTTCTCGATCTTTATTCTGTTCTCTTGTTTCGTGTATATGGCGTCTGGTTCTGGAATTTTAGGTGGCAAATCTGCGACGAAGGAGGTTGAGTTCGCCGAGAAAGATCCAACTCAAGCAAACATATGAGCCGAAGGTAAGTAAAAAGAAAGAAACAGCTGAATTCCGAAAATCCAATCCGAGATCCAATCTCTGAAAATTGACGCATCTCCTGCGATGCGTTGATGCAGCTGGTGAATCAGAAGGGTTCGTCGATTGAAGAACAAGTGGCGGGAGAGAGAAACGGGGCGACTTGGGCGTTTGAAGTTGGAGATGAGTCAGTTGTCTGTCCGATCATTGTCGAGGATTTGAACCCACCTGGCCACTTGCAGATCGAGGTTTTTGACATGCTCTTTGCATGAATTTTGTGTTTGATTCTTACTCTTTCTTTTTGGAACTCACCCAATTGTTTGTCTGTGTGCGTGTGAAGATGATATGCGAGGAAAGCGGGCAGTTCCTGGAGATTGCAGATTTAATCAGAGGCTTTGGATTAAACATCTTGAAAGGAGCCATGGAAACACGACACGGCAGAATCTGGGCCCATTTCATTACAGAGGTAAACAGAACATTCCCAAAATACCCCCCAAAGATTCGTTTTATTTTTTTGGTAATTTTTTTAATGGAAAAAAGGAGTTAACAAAGGCATATGACAGGGAAGAGTGGAACGAGTGCAGGTGTTGTGGTCGCTTGTCCAACACCTTCAGCAAGAACATCCCCTTCATTAATCTCTCTCCAATCTTTCTTTGATTTGGTTCCTAATCCTTTGTGGCCCACAGTCGCAATCTGTTTATAGTAGACCATTTTTTTTTTAATAAAAAATTCAGAAACGCTTCTTGTTATGATATTATGGAAATTTAATAAGGATAAGATTATTAGAAACACCTATTACAAATAATCAGTTTGAAAATGGAATGTTTATTGATATAGCACACATACGATATGTACGAATAAAAGAATAATTGTTATTACAGAAGCAATTTTATTTACACAAAAGAATAATTGGGTGACAACAACAATAAATAAAAACACTAAAATATCTACTCTGAATCACTTTATCCACAACAACACAGAAAGATTAGTACTAATCACATTGCTAATGTTTAACGAAGGCGTTCGCGAAATATATCTCAATGGCCACGCCTGATCCACGAATGACCCCAACCCGACGACCCTGACCCGGAACTCGACCCGGATCCGGAACCCGACCCGGATCCCATCATGGAACCACTTCCCGAGCCCCAGCCCCTGGTCCCGAAATAAAGGTCCGAGATGTAATTTCCCAAATCTTCCGGGGTGAATCTGATTATACACTCATTACTCGTATCTCGGACCAACCCGACTCGGTTTCTCTCGTAGAACTCGCCGTAACTCGGTATGAGTGTCCGAGACAGCGAGTCGATGATCTCATCCCTCAGTGTCGGGTCGGGTACGACCCACGAGCATTGTTTCCTGTACGCGGATTCGAACTCGTCGTTGAATCGCCGGAAAATCTCTTTTGCCTTCTCCTGCGGAATCCCCGCCGTCGGATCTTGTGGAAGTGACGTCAGCACCTTCCCCCATGCGAGCTTCTCGAGCTTCTCTGCATACTGCTTCACCTTCGCCTCGTGCCTCGCGACCCAGTCGTTGCCGAGGAGGAGCTTCAGGTTTGAGTTTCGAACATTGTCGACGATGTATTGGAGATTGTTGGCGAGGAAGAGGTACGAGAGAGCAGCGTCCTTGTAGGGTTGAGTCTTGCCGTCGGCCCATGATAAACAAAAGTTTAACCTACATATTGATGTAACTTGTTGTACAAGTAATAAGACGAATGTTAATATAATAACAAGGGTTTAGGGAAAGGAGACCAAAACAACTCGGAGCAGCGAGGCGCGTGGACATTATTTTGGACATTTTTTTCCCTTCATATATTTTTCCTTGTATTTCTCGAAAGTACTAAAATTGGTTTTTTTTCGAAAGAAGGGTATAAATCCAATCAAACATATAGTTTAACATTTTCTGTTATCGTAATTTTGTAAAATCAAAGTCAAAACACAGCAGCATCTATTATCGATATATATATATATATACGTATATATGAGAGGGCCGTTTCAGAGGGTGGTACGCCTTGATCGGCATTCGTCCCTCCGTCGCCGCCGTGCGATCGGAAAACTATGCATTTTTCATCATACGCAATAAATTTGCCCCACACAGAGAGAGAGAACCAATTTCGGGATTTAGGGTTTTGCGGCAGCGGTTAAGCATCTTTCGTCTCCGTCCCGTCTCCCTTGCCGGAATTCTTGTTCTCCGGCGACGCCAACACCGACCACCACGACGTTCACTCATCATCTCCGGCGACCGTACGGCTCGCCTGGGTGATTCTCATCACGCTCTGCAAAATCGACGGCAAGACTCAACCCTACAAGGACGCAGCTCTCTCGTACCTCTTCCTCGCCAACAATCTCCAATACATCGTCGACAATGTTCGAAACTCAAACCTGAAGCTCCTCCTCGGCAACGACTGGGTCGCGAGGCACGAGGCGAAGGTGAAGCAGTATGCAGAGAAGCTCGAGAAGCTCGCATGGGGGAAGGTGCTGACGTCACTTCCACAAGATCCGACGGCGGGGATTCCGCAGGAGAAGGCAAAAGAGATTTTCCGGCGATTCAACGACGAGTTCGAATCCGCGTACAGGAAACAATGCTCGTGGGTCGTACCCGACCCGACACTGAGGGATGAGATCATCGACTCGCTGTCTCGGACACTCATACCGAGTTACGGCGAGTTCTACGAGAGAAACCGAGTCGGGTTGGTCCGAGATACGAGTAATGAGTGTATAATCAGATTCACCCCGGAAGATTTGGGAAATTACATCTCGGACCTTTATTTCGGGACCAGGGGCTGGGGCTCGGGAAGTGGTTCCATGATGGGATCCGGGTCGGGTTCCGGATCCGGGTCGAGTTCCGGGTCAGGGTCGTCGGGGTATCTGGCGTGGCCATTGAGATATATTTCGCGAACGCCTTCGTTAAACATTAGCAATGTGATTAGTACTAATCTTTCTGTGTTGTTGTGGATAAAGTGATTCAGAGTAGATATTTTAGTGTTTTTATTTATTGTTGTTGTCACCCAATTATTCTTTTGTGTAAATAAAATTGCTTCTGTAATAACAATTATTCTTTTATTCGTACATATCGTATGTGTGCTATATCAATAAACATTCCATTTTCAAACTGATTATTTGTAATAGGTGTTTCTAATAATCTTATCCTTATTAAATTTCCATAATATCATAACAAGAAGCGTTTCTGAATTTTTTATTAAAAAAAAAAACAGAAGACAGTTGATCTTTTGGGGGTTGAAACTTGATCCTTTTTTAACATGAGGAAATATTTGTCGATCCAAATTTTAATAGCATCACACAAATATTATTTGAGATAATGGCCATTCAAAAACTAGATTACAAATATATATCTAAGTATATATTTATTAATTCAGAGCAAAATCTAATACAAATATTTTTAAAATACAAATAAATCGAATGTAGGTATATAATAAGTTGGATTTTCTTTTGTAGCCTTCCCTTTTAGTTGTCCTAAATTTTGTTTAAAGGCCACTTCCTTTTTTTTTTGGAAACATCTAAGGACCTGCAGCCACGCAATCTTGATGGGCCACCAACCCATAACTTTTTTTTTTTATAACCACGATGGTTCCCCGAGTCTTCAATCCGACTACATTCACCTTAGGTCCGGGACCAGCCTTTATATATAGACAATTTTCATTCAGAAATTTCATCCCTCCCCACCAGTGGAATCAAACCCATGACCTCGAGAATGACTTTGTCATCTCTCAACCGCTGGGTCACCAACGGTTGGATTCATGAACCCATAACTTATACACGCACGTATGTAAATATATTATGTGTATCTTTATATGCAATAATTTTATGTTTCTCGTTATCATTACCGCTTTTTTTGCACTGTCCGGACAATGCGTATAACAATGTTTAGTACAAAGCAGTGAATAAGAAGCATTGTGTTATATATATATATATATATACGTGTATAAAGAGAGAGAGGGGCAACCGAACTTGGTTAAAATCACAAGCTGCTGCAAATGAATAGCTAATAATAGAATGCAAGATGCTTAGACTGTTATAACAAAGCAACATGTTATTTAAAATTTAGCCGCAAATAATGTATCAATTTGGATGGTCCTAATCCATCTACTTCACGTATAAAAGGCCTCAAGCAATCGACCGATGATCTCAACACCTTTTATCTAATTATCATACAAAACAAAACATAGAAACAAAACCTCAAGACAAGAAAATGGGCATGGAATCACATTGCATTGCAGCATTGTGCGTTTTGGTAACTCATCTTTTGGTTGCATCCTTTGTTCAATCAGCAGCAGATTCAATAACCTTTAGCATTACAAACTATGGTTTGAAAGGGACCGAGGACGAAGATATCACTAAGGTATATATATATATACAACATCATATTAGCGACATTCAATCTTTGTACCAGTCATGTTTCTTGATCCGGGTTTTCTCAAAAAATATTATATATATAAGGGCAATATATAAATATGTATTACATTTCATTTCATTGGATCTAAATTGGGAGATACTCATCTTGGATTGCATGTATATGTTTTTGAACATCGCGAGTTTAGGCTTTCTCGGTTGCATGGGAGGCTGCTTGCTCATCGACAAGTCCAAGCAAATTGATTGTACCAAAAGGGACATACGTATTGAGACAAGTTGTGTTCGAAGGTCCATGCAAGGCTCCACTGGAATTACAAGTACATGGAACCATCAAAGCACCTGAAGATCCATCATATTTCATAGAAAAAGCTGGCTGGATCAGCTTTCAACGCATTGACCGTTTCGCTTTGGTCGGAAACGGAACCTTTGATGGTCAAGGTTCAACTGCTTGGTCTCAGAACGATTGCCACAAGACTGGAGAATGCAATAAGCTTCCTATTGTGAGTTGTTTTGATCTTCTTTCCCTAAACCCTTGTTATTATATTAACATTCGTCTTATTACTTGTACAACAAGTTACATCAATATGTAGGTTAAACTTTTGTTCCGATAACAGAGTATCATGGGCCAAAAATGTTCAGTCAAGATTCGATTTTCGGGGTCTAATGTCACAGTATGATGCTCGAAACACGGTTCAACTATAATCCGTTGAATTCGATGGAGATCCAATTCTTTTGCGAAAATTGATAGTTTTACAATGGTGATATATCAATTTTGTAACAAAAAACCTGGTTTATTTTTGCAGAACATAAGGTTCAACTTCATCACAAACGGACTGGTACAAGACATAACATCTCTGAACAGCAAACTCTTCCACATCAATGTTCTTGGATGCAACAATTTAACATTCAGCAGAGTGAATATAAAAGCCCCAGAAGATAGCCCTAACACCGACGGAATCCACATTGGACGGTCTAAAAATATAAACATTACAGACTCGGTAATGTCCACTGGCGATGATTGCATCTCTATGGGACGTGGAAGCGAGAATATCGCGATAGAGCGTGTGAAATGCGGGCCTGGTCATGGGATTAGCGTTGGAAGCCTTGGGAGATACACGAAAGAAGAGCCTGTTTCCGGTATCATTGTCAGAAACTGTACCTTCTTCAACACGGATAACGGCGTGAGAGTTAAAACATGGATGAGTTCGGAAAAAGCAATAGCCACTGGTCTATATTTTCAAGACATTGCAGTGGTTAACGTGAGCAACCCTATTGTGATTGATCAAGAGTATTGCCCTTACAACCACTGTAAAGCCAAGGTGAGATTGCAAATACACACTTTCGTTCATCATCCTCAAAATTCAAAACCTCTAACAAGAAAAATGAATTGATTATTTTTTATTTTGTAAATGTTGTCGGAGAACAGAAACCTTCGCAAGTGAAGTTGAGTAATATCAGCTTTAGAAACATACATGGGACATCATCCACACAAATGGCGATGAAACTGGCTTGTAGCAGTGGAGTCCCATGCGAAAACGTCGAGATTTCCGACATTGATATCAAGTACACAGGATCTGATGGTGATTCGATGTCGGATTGTACAAATGTTAGTCCCAAAATCTTTGGAAAACAGTACCCATCTCCTTGTGTTGCCGCCAATTCATCTAGTTGATCTTCGCTTTCTTTTTTACGTCAAAGTTTATGCCTTTACACATGTATATTGTATTGTTATTATTATTATATATATAGTTATATACACACACGGCCCATCCTTGATGATGATAATAATAATAATAATAAAAATTTAATAGTTGCTTTTTGTTATTTAAAATAAAACTTCGATTCAAGCAAGATGAAAAGAAATTTAAAAAGCCCATAAAGCTTATAAAGGCCCAAACAAATCAGCGAGTGTGAAGGCCTCACCAGAAGTCCAAAACTCCGAAAGCAAAATAGCAAGGAAAAAATTCGAAGAGCACTGACCACGCGCACCCTAAGCGCGTGGATCTCACGCTCCCAATTTCCCTGGACTTATAGTCCCACAGAAATGATCGAAAATCCATAATCTTGTGAATTCGGAGCAGCGAGGCGCGTGGACATTATTTTGGACATTTTTTTCCCTTCATATATTTTTCCTTGTATTTCTCGAAAGTACTAAAATTGGTTTTTTTTCGAAAGAAGGGTATAAATCCAATCAAACATATAGTTTAACATTTTCTGTTATCGTAATTTTGTAAAATCAAAGTCAAAACACAGCAGCATCTATTATCGATATATATATATATACGTATATATGAGAGGGCCGTTTCAGAGGGTGGTACGCCTTGATCGGCATTCGTCCCTCCGTCGCCGCCGTGCGATCGGAAAACTATGCATTTTTCATCATACGCAATAAATTTGCCCCACACAGAGAGAGAGAACCAATTTCGGGATTTAGGGTTTTGCGGCAGCGGTTAAGCATCTTTCGTCTCCGTCCCGTCTCCCTTGCCGGAATTCTTGTTCTCCGGCGACGCCAACACCGACCACCACGACGTTTGCTCATCATCTCCGGCGTCCGTACGGCTCGCCTGGGTGATCCTCATCACGCTCTGCAAAATCGACGGCAAGACTCAACCCTACAAGGACGCAGCTCTCGCGTACCTCTTCCTCGCCAACAATCTCCAATACATCGTCGACAATGTTCGAAACTCAAACCTGAAGCTCCTCCTCGGCAACGACTGGGTCGCGAGGCACGAGGCGAAGGTGAAGCAGTACGCAGAGAAGCTCGAGAAGCTCGCATGGGGGAAGGTGCTGGCGTCACTTCCACAAGATCCGACGGCGGGGATTCCGCAGGAGCAGGCGAAGGAGATTTTCCGGCGATTCAGCGACGAGTTCGAATCCGCGTACAGGAAACAATGCTCGTGGGACTGAGGGATGAGATCATCGACTCGCTCTCTCGGACACTCATACCGAGTTACGGCGAGTTCTACGAGAGAAACCGAGTCGGGTTGGTCCGAGATACGAGTAATGAGTGTATAATCAGATTCACCCCGGAAGATTTGGGAAATTACATCTCGGACCTTTATTTCGGGACCAGGGGCTGGGGCTCGGGAAGTGGTTCCATGATGGGATCCGGGTCGGGTTCCGGATCCGGGTCAGGGTCGTCGGGTTGGGGTCATTCGTGGATCAGGCGTGGCCATTGAGATATATTTCGCGAACGCCTTCGTTAAACATTAGCAATGTGATTAGTACTAATCTTTCTGTGTTGTTGTGGATAAAGTGATTCAGAGTAGATGTTTTAGTGTTTTTTATTTATTGTTGTTGTCACCCAATTATTCTTTTGTGTAAATAAAATTGCTTCTGTAATAACAATTATTCTTTTATTCGTACATATCGTATGTGTGCTATATCAATAAACATTCCATTTTCAAACTGATTATTTGTAATAGGTGTTTCTAATAATCTTATCCTTATTAAATTTCCATAATATCATAACAAGAAGCGTTTCTGAATTTTTTATTAAAAAAAAAACAGAAGACAGTTGATCTTTTGGGGGTTGAAACTTGATCCTTTTTTAACATGAGGAAATATTTGTCGATCCAAATTTTAATAGCATCACACATATATTATTTGAGATAATGGCCATTCAAAAACTAGATTACAAATATATATCTAAGTATATTTTATAAATTCAGAGCAAAATCTAATACAAATATTTTTAAAATACAAATAAATCGAATGTAGGTATATAATAAGTTGGATTTTCTTTTGTAGCCTTCCCTTTTAGTTGCCCTAAATTTTGTTTAAACGCCACTTCCTTTTCTTTTCTTTTTTGGAAACATCTAAGGACGTGCAGCCAGGCCATGAACCCATAACTTATACACGAACGTATGTAAATATATTATGTGTGTAACTTTATATGCAATAATTTTATGTTTCTTGTTATCAAATACCGCTTTGTTTGCACTGTCCGGACAATGCGTATAACAATGTTTAGTACAAAGCAGTGAATAGGAAGCATTGGTTAAAATCACAAGCTGCTGCAAATGAATAGCTAATAATAGAATGCAGGATGCTTAGACTGTTATAACAAAGAAACATGTTATTTAAAATTTAGCCGCAAATAATGTATCAATTTGGACGGTCCTAATCCATCTACTTCACGTATAAAAGGCCTCAAGCAATCGACCGATGATCTCAACACCTTTTATCTAATTATCATACAAAACAAAACATAGAAACAAAACCTCAAGACAAGAAAATGGGCATGGAATCACATTGCATTGCAGCATTGTGCGCTTTGGTAACTCATCTTTTGGTTGCATCATTTGTTCAATCAGCAGCAGATTCAGTAACCTTTAGCATTGCAAACTATGGTTTGAAAGGGACCGAGGACGAAGATATCACTAAGGTATATATATATATACAACATCATATTATCGACATTCAATCTTTGTACGAGTCTTGTTTCTTGATCCGGGTTTTCTCAAAAAATATTATATATATAAAGGCAATATATCAATATGTATTACATTTCATTTCATTGGATCTAAATTGGGAGATATATATGACTCACCTTGGATTGCATGTATATGTTTTTGAACATCGCGAGTTTAGGCTTTCTCGGTTGCATGGAAGGCTGCTTGCTCATCAACAAGTCCAAGCAAATTGATTGTACCAAAAGGGACATACGTATTGAGACAAGTTGTGTTCGAAGGTCCATGCAAGGCTCCACTGGAATTACAAGTACATGGAACCATCAAAGCACCAGAAGATCCATCAGATTTCATAGAAAAAGCTGGTTGGATCAGCTTTCAACGCATTGACCGTTTCGCTTTGGTCGGAAACGGAACCTTTGATGGTCAAGGTTCCACTGCTTGGTCTCAGAACGATTGCCACAAGACTGGAGAATGCAATAAGCTTCCTATTGTGAGTTGTTTTGGTCTTCTTTCCCTAAACCCTTGTTATTATATTAACATTCGTCTTATTACTTGTACAACAAGTTACATCAATATGTAGGTTAAACTTTTGTTTATCATGGGCCAAAAAAGTTCAGTCAAGATTCGATTTTCGGGGGTCTAATGTCACAGTATGATGTTCGAAACACGGTTCAACTATAATCCGTTGAATTCGATGGAGATCCAATTCTTTTGCGAAAATTGATAGTTTTACAATGGTGATATATCAATTTTGTAACAAAAAACCTGGTTTATTTTTGCAGAACATAAGGTTCAACTTCATCACAAACGGACTGGTACAAGACATAACATCTCTGAACAGCAAACTCTTCCACATCAATGTTCTTGGATGCAACAATTTAACATTCAGCAGAGTGAATATAAAAGCCCCAGAAGATAGCCCTAACACCGACGGAATCCACATTGGACGGTCTAAAAATATAAACATTACAGACTCGGTAATGTCCACTGGCGATGATTGCATCTCTATGGGACGTGGAAGCGAGAATATCGCGATAGAGCGTGTGAAATGCGGGCCTGGTCACGGGATTAGCGTTGGAAGTCTTGGGAGATACACGAAAGAAGAGCCTGTTTCCGGTATCATTGTCAGAAACTGTACCTTTTTCAACACGGATAACGGCGTGAGAGTTAAAACATGGATGAGTTCGGAAAAAGCAATAGCCACTGGTCTATATTTTCAAGACATTGCAGTGGTTAACGTGAGCAACCCTGTTGTGATTGATCAAGAGTATTGCCCTTACAACCACTGTAAAGCCAAGGTGCGATTGCAAATACATACTTTCGTTCATCATCCTCAAAATTCAAAACCTCTAACAAAAAAAATGAATTGGTTATTTCTTATTTTGTAAATGTTGTCGGAGAACAGAAACCTTCGCAAGTGAAGTTAAGTAATATCAGCTTTAGAAACATACATGGGACATCATCGACACAAATGGCGATGAAACTGGCTTGTAGCAGTGGAGTCCCATGCGAAAACGTCGAGATTTCGGACATTGATATTAAGTACACAGGATCTGATGGTGATTCGATGTCGGATTGTACAAATGTTAGTCCCAAAATCTTTGGAAAACAGTACCCATCTCCTTGTGTTGCCGCCAATTCATCTAGTTGATCTTCGCTTTCTTTTTTACGTCAAAGTTTATGCCTTTACACATGTATATTGTATTGTTATTATTATATATATATAGTTATATACACACACACGACCCATCCTTGATGATGATAATAATAATAATAATAAAATTTAATAGTTGCTTTTTGTTATTTAAAATAAAACTTCGATTCAAGCAAGATGAAAAGAAATTTAAAAAGCCCATAAAGCTTATAAAGGCCCAAACAAATCAGCGAGTGTGAAGGCCTCACCAGAAGTCCAAAACTCCAAAAGCAAAATAGCAAGGAAAAAATTCGAAGAGCACTGACCACGCGCACCCGAAGCGCGTGGATCTCACGCTCCCAATTTCCCTGGACTATAGTCCCACAGAAATGATCGAAAATCCATAATCTTGTGAATTCGGAGCAGCGAGGCGCGTGGACATTATTTTGGACATTTTTTTCCCTTCATATATTTTTCCTTGTATTTCTCGAAAGTACTAAAATTGGTTTTTTTTCGAAAGAAGGGTATAAATCCAATCAAACATATAGTTTAACATTTTCTGTTATCGTAATTTTGTAAAATCAAAGTCAAAACACAGCAGCATCTATTATCGATATATATATATATA